GTTGGGACCCTTGATCGACGTTGGAAGCGACTTTGCCGCTAGGGAGTGTTTAACCTCGCGATCGCGACCCCAGAAGATGGAGGTATAATATACAGCGCCAATATCAACAAGTGAGGGCGGTCGTGAACGGCCACCTGGAGATTGCGATTAAAGACCGAGCGGACCGTCGTAATGAAGACCGCGATCTGTTGGAGATTGACCAAGGATCACAAGTATGGTTGTATCCGGATCGCGTCAAAGATGGATATGCTCGAAATTTAACTCATATGTGGTACGGACTGTTCCGAGTTGTTGAAAAATGTGGAGTCCATGCAATGGAATTGGTGATCGCAGGCACACCCTATCGGTTGTTCCCGGTCGTTCATGTATCCAAACTGAAGCCAGTAACGGTGTTACCAGAACGACACCAAGATCGGGTGAATGTAGACGAGTCTATTCGAGTTAATATTGATGAAGCCCTACTACCGGAAGATAGTTGGGAAGGTGAATTGGATGACGACGAATTTGAGGTGAGCAAAATTGTGGATGTGCGATCAGGTCCAAAAACACGCTACGGGCGAGTACACAGTCAATTCCTATACGATGGAAAGGCCATGGCGATTTTTCATAGGTGGATAAAGCAGATCTGAATTGTGGAGCTTTACTGCAAGAATTCGATCGTGATCGAATTAGTCGGAATCGATTTGAAGTTTCGCAAACACACGAAGAAGAGCCAGAGGCCTAGACCAAATCGGGCGGTCGGAGTGTGTAAGTATGCAATGAGGTTGCACACATTTGTAAGGTGGCAAAGAGTATACTGGCAGGCTGTATATGAGAATGCAGGAATGGCGGAAACATGCAAGGGGGTTGCATATGTAGGAAGGGCTTTTTGTAGTATGTGTGGTGATCGAAACACGATCGCGGTCCACCAGACTGGTAGAAGAAAAATGAAGAAGACAATTTCAAGGGGTATCAAGATAAAAAACCGCACAATGAAATGGAAATAGAACTTGAAATTGCATTGAACCAAATCGACTCCAGAACGAAGAACTTGCAGGCTACGCAAGGGATCGGCGTGCCTGTATGATCTGCGATCACAGCTTGGTACTGATTACGTCACGGCTAAGCAGATATCCTCAGTAATAAAGCGGAAGCCAGATAAAGATATCGGTTTTCCGAGTCCCCAAACCAGGGTACCGGAACTGCTTCTCAGTCAACGAGGCAGATGCGAGAAAATGGGTCTAGCAGAATTTCCAAGCGACAATGTCCTTCCACCATACCCTGGAGTATGAATCGCAGAACGGTTTTCCAGCGGGGTCCAGATAGTGAGCGCCATGGCTTGCGCTGATCACAGTACAACGTCAACACAGGATCACTAACCCGATTGGCGGAGTAAATCGGCAAAGTGTGGGTCGACTCCTACATAGTCTGGATATGTCGATCCTCAAATGAGTGGTACAGATCCAGCAATCGTTCGAATCACCCGGTAGGAGGGAAGGAAACTGGCGCTATCTTTACCTCCAGACACTTCTAAGGCTCTTGGCGGTAAAGCGTGGCGATATGCGCTGAAGAAGCCAGGTAAGAAGACCACTCTGACGCAGGAGGCTTTGATGACGTACTGGGAGGAACTGGAAGGGGCAGAGTTTCGGCCTGGAAAGATGGCGACAGAAAAACGCCAAGTCCAGTTCAGGTATGCTGATTTAGCCCACTTGAAGTGAAGACCAAGGTGAAACTTGAACAGAAGGTCTCGGAACGCGCCAACGATACCCATGTATCGATTGATCTTGGGACACCTTGGTCTGAAGAAGAGCAGCGTACTCGGCTGAAGACAACAGCGTGTTGACGGGAGCTCGGGATTCTTCCGCAACATTGATCGCGCCATCCGAACTGGTAGAGGCTTCGCCAAACAAGTTGAACTTGAAATCTTGGTTGTAAACGTAGGAGAAGCAGCGATCGGGCAAGCAGGAGAACCCAATGGAGGGAAAGGGGTGTCCACAACGATCAATTCAAGTGAAGTGGAGGTCGAAGTCATACGCCGGGAAGAAGAGCGCGATCAGGAGAGTGCAGCTAAAGTTTGGGACTCTACATCTGATGACTCATCAGCATCCGAGCGGAGCGCGGCAGGTGCTAAGACGCACAATACACCTTTCCCCTAACGGCCACTGACCCGGACGAAACGGGTGGATGGGGTGTTGGCTTTGCCGTGGATCGTTTGGAACGGCGGGAGAGACGGGGAATGCTGTCCTTCAGATTCCTACCCGGGGAAGAAGAAGTGGTGTAGACTTCGGGCACAGACGAAGCCGAAGTTATTGATGTCGCATTGACTGACAAATGCGGGGAGGTCCGGGGAGTAGAGGGAGCCCATGTCTTGGCCTTTTTGCTCGGCGGAGAAGTAACTGGAGCGAAAGATCTGGGACGTTTGCCACGGGTGTCCATGGACTTCGCTGATCCATTTACGCATGATGGATCAGAACGGGATAGGGCCTCCACGACAAAATGGGAAGAAAGGGAGACCGATACACTGGTAGACAATAAGGCGATACTCGCCCGAAGAGCATCCCGATCGCGCAAGGCTAGATCACGCTCTGACACTAGATTCGAGATCTTATTCTGGAGCCGACACACTTGATCTTCCCGATCGGCGAGAAAATAGCGTAACCGATCGCGGTCGACTTCGAGCTCAGCAGGATCGTCCCGACGCTGATCGCTCTCTACCACCAGTGCCGCAAGAGCATCGCGCATACGACCAACCTTGGTCTGTTCCTGAGAAAAGCAAGCCTTGTATCGGGATTTCTTCGACTGGACCTTCTAAAGTCTTAAGGTTTCTTGGGTAATTGCAGCATGCATTCGGGCATTTCCCTCATCCATGTGCTGTTGCAAGGCTGCCAACTCCCGATCGTGACGTTCCTGTATAGCATGAAGCGATCGAGTCGCCTACAAAATCTTCGACTTCGAGTCGCTAATTTGCTACTCCTGACACTGACCCGCGTAGACTTCCTCCCGAAGTAAGGCGGCCTCCGTGCGCACAATTCGAGGTCCAAGCGAAGACGATCATAGCAGACTTCAACGAAAGTCACAAACGGAGAGGCCGACTCAGCAAGGGAACGGAACTCTTGCTCTAGCCGATCTCCTCGACGGGTCTGTCTCCTTATCGCTTGCTCAAGATCACCGTAGCGATCGACGCAGTCTTGCTTACAAGAGATGAGCTGATAAAGACCAGCGAGCGTCTCGAACGCAGCCGCTTGATCAGCTATCGGCGGCGATTCAACTTGAGCGGTCGGCAATGGAATCGCTCCTTTGGGGCTGGAGTCTATGTTTCCAATCGTCGTCACAGGTTGCAAGAATGTCACTAAAGACTACCCGCAGAGGCATTTCTCGAAGTACCAGGCGGTGTATTAATGGATGCCAATGTGGAGTTAATTGGGTACGGTAATGCGTCACTAGCGGAAGGCATGTCGGGTGAGGCATGACGGGGCGTGGACACTGTGGACGACGTGGACGCCATGGTTAACTATATAACAGATAATGACGACGGAACACGTGCACAAGCCAGCCGGATGTTGTGGATCGTCTATTTGTGCAGGGAGCAATTGTGGTAGAGCCGATCGAGATCGGGCTCAAAAGTCTAGGCGAATTAGCTAAGTACGAGGTGGTATTAGCTGAATCGCTCGTGGGATGATAGCCAGCTATTTTTTTTTGGGTGATATCTTTGGGAGGTTCTAATGAAATCATCACCATCTAGTCCGTACGGTACCAAACTGAAGGAATATTAAGGAACCCAAATCATGGGGCCGTGATCAAGAGACCGTGATAAAGGGCTCGTGATCAAGGGACCGTGATCAAGGGATCTCGGTAAAGGGACCGCGATCATGGGGCCGCGATCTGGCGTGGGCTACGTGATGTAGACGGATCGCAAATCCATTCGGCATGATGAAGACACTTGGCGGTCAATCCTGACATACGGAGTAGGCGTGTTTACAGTTTTGGGTTTTGGTTAGTTAACATTGAACATAGTTTAATTTGCTTCTAAACACATACGTATCGTTCTACTTCGGAGTTGGATGTTTTGTCCTCTTGACGTCAGAGAACTTCGACACTAAGGGCAGGAAGATCACTCCTGGAGCTATTGGCCAGGAGTGCAAGAACTCTCAACACACATCAGCTGCAATCAAACGCAGGCAACCTTACTGGTTAAAGGAAAAGATCTCGAGACGGCTTTAGTGGCCATAAGGCTCGCGATTATAAGTACCCCGTTTTTGGCACAAGGAGATCAAGGCTGATCGCGGCGACTCTAGGGAAGCGCCAACCAAGAAACACGCGATCGGGTGAGGGATATCCACCCGATCGACACCAACCTCTAAAACGGTCAAGTTCAGCATCGAGTCAAGTACACCTTGAAAGTGCAACCCGCTCTACCAGCGGGTACACAAGGTAAGGAGGAAACAAGTGCAAGCGGAATCGGAGTACCCCCTCCGTTATTCGGTTGTCTGGGCACATGTGGGGAGTCGGGATCGCTTTATAAAATGAGCGAACCCTGTAACGGGGTGAATCGTTACATAACAATTTATAAGAAATTCTCAACAGAATATGACTACAAGAGTTATCTTCTCAGAATATTGTCATAAGGACAAATATTCTGTAGCACTTACGAGTAGTTCCTAATTGGTTGATAGAGGCCATTATACCAACCAACGAAGACGCACCACGACAGACGCACGCAATGAGTGGTGAGCAGATAGTTGACATGCACATTTGTATTCAGACATAGTTAGATGAGGATAAATAGTGATTTATTGCAGACATTAACTATGACAAATACAGTTCTACTTTTTACTTTAACCAAGTACTCGCTTCTTCTTACCGTCTTCCTCTGCACGTACGAGTGTACGTGAAGTTACCAGGCACCGCCTTATACTGTCATCAGAATAAGTAGCTTGTACTGTCACCAGTACAAGCTTCCGGGTGCCCCGGTACACCTGGTAGCACTTCGTAGTCCGTCAAGGACCGCGTTCACATCTAACATGAATATGTTGGATGATGAAGATGACCACAGCTTTCACGCTACGCGTGACGGCTACTCTTATTCGAGCGATGTCGAATGGGATGCGGTTGAACGAATGGGTTCAACCATGGGAATCCATGCTGTTAGCGTCATGCTAGAGGCTCTCAATAGAGATGCCCAACATGCTACTATCGCCAAGTTCATTCAAAATGAACTTGACGCAGAACGCGAGAAAGTAGCCTTGCTTCACCAACAAGGTTCTCAACAAGCAGAGTTGTTGAGAGAACAGGGTGCTCAACAGTTTGAACTGTTGAGACAGCAGCAGGCTGCTGCTGGCGGGTCGATGCACTCGCGTCGACCCGAAACCTTGAAGATTGACATCTCCAAGTACAGGGGAGTCGAAGAGGACTCCCTCTTGAGATGGTTCGTCGAATTAGACGACGCCACAAGGCGCGTCGCATCGACGACGGGGATACGCAAGTTGCATTTGCCCAGTCAAATCTGGCAGGACGTGCCAATACTTGGGCTTTGAGGCTCAAGTTGCACGACCCATATGCGTTTAGGTCGTTGGAAGTCTTCAAGTCGCGGCTCAGACAAACGTTTGAACCGCCTAGAGCTGAGTTCAGAGCTCGAACCGAACTCTTGAAGCTCAAGCAGGGTAAGCGTGATGTGCACGCTTACGCGCAACATATACGACACCTTACGAGCTGTATAAGTTCCAATCCGGTGGATGAACACACGTTGGTTTCGGTGTTCATGCAGGGTCTTGCGGATGGTCCCGTCAAGACTCACCTGTTCCGGCTTGAACTAGATTCACTAGAACAAGCCATTTCCATTGCGGAGCAGGAAGACTTCAGTCTGAGACAGGCTCGCGCCAGCTCGACATCATATCGTCAACCGAGACGATATGACAACGGAGGTCCAGAGCCGATGGAACTCTGTTATGTAGAGAGCGAGAAGGCTCGCTCTACAGGCTACAAGAAGTTGCAGAGATGCAACAGATGTCAAAAGACAGGACACTACGCTTACGAGTGTAGTGCCCCTCGTCCAGTGTCTCGCGACACTGGGCGTAGTGACCGTCCACCCATGAGAAAGGGGCAGGGACGAGGGTCCGCTGTTGGCGCAAAGACGCAACAATGGGATGGACCGTCAAAAAACGGACAGGATCAGTAGGTGCGGAGCACCCTACTGGTCCAGCAACGTCAAGAGAATTTGTAGGCCTCTTGATGAAGGTTGCTCCCAACACAAACGTTGTGCGCTGCTGCTCTAGGTGATGAGGTCTCATTCATTACCTTGAAACTCGAAGTGACAAATAGTTGTCCCTTCGAGCTCTAGTCGATTGTGGGGCGTCCAACAATTTTGTGCGACGCCAATCGCTAGAAGATGGTCACTTCAAGTTCAGTGAATGTGACACACCTCCTACGAGGATGACGGTACGTCTTGCGACAGGCGCATCCGTAACCGTCATGAAGCGTATAGTGAAGATCCACTATACGCTAGAAGATACCCAATATGATGATGACTTTATCGTATTGGATTTGGATGACAAATTTGATGTCATCCTTGGAATACCGTGGCTCAGAAGGTACGAACCACGAGTAAACTGGCAACATCGAACAGTAACGATGCCTGCCGCTTGTTCATCAGATGGCCATCTGATGAACGTTTTGGAGCGTCCACAAGCGTGTGGATGTACTACGAGTGAGTGCGATGGCCTCACTTGTGGTACGGTCGTTAGTACGACTGCACAAAACCTTAGTGTACCAAACGGTTACACTTCGGAGCAAAGTTCCGGCGGCTATGAGGAAACACAGGCTGCGCCGAAGGTCCACCACTCGAATAAGTCGGGTGGACTGGGACAAAGGTGTATCCCTAGCGGGGAACATCTAGAGGAGAAACAATCGATCGCTCAGGTTAAGCGAAGCGATAATCCTGGATCGACTGGAGAGTCTTTCGTAGAGGATCTCGCTGTGGTTGTACAACCCCAGCTAGAGGAAGTAAAGGGAATAAGTCCCAAGATTACAAATACGGTGGAAATAAGTTCCCCGAAACCCGAGGGAATAAGTCCCTGGGAAGCCGAAGAACAAAGTCCTTCGAAGCCTGAGGGAATAAGTCCCCAGGAAATGACAGAGACATTGAATTTCATAGTCAATGACGGATAAAGTGTAGGCGCTTATACACTTGATCTGATTGCGCCTCCGAAGTTGACTTCGGAGATCACTCAGTTGCCAACGCTCGAGCATAAAAGGTTCTTGCATGATCTGCGTAGTGGCAAAGTCAAGCAGATCTGCGTACTCGTCGCTGACGACGAGTGCGTAGCCGACATAAGGTCAGCAACAGTGTTCACTGAGAACGAGAGAGTTCTCAGTAGTTCATCTATGGACGAGAGTGTCCTAGAGGAAAAGACACGAGCTGAGCGATATGACTCCCGATCGTGGGAATCGCTCAAGACAGATCCTCTCTATGAAGATTTGGTTGAATTCAAGGATGTATTCCCTGAAACTGTTCCGTGCGAATTACCGAAGGATAAAGGTATTCGACACGAGGTCGAGCTTAAACCAGGCTCGAAGTACTGTGTCATGAAGCAGTGGCCACTGCCTCGTGAACAAGTACTTGCTATCGACAAGTTCTTGCCGATCGTTTAGCTGCGGGCCATGTGAGGGATCAACTTCCCCACATAGCTCTCCGACCTTCTGTGTGCGAAAAGCAACAGGAGGGTAGTGGATAGTGCACGCGTTCAACAAGTTGAATGCTGCAACGGTACCGGCTCAGACGCCGATACCGAGGAAGGACGTCAACGTAGATGGTATGGCAAAACGTACCATCTTTTCGCCCATGGATTTGATGGATGGATTCTATCAGATCCTCACGCTTGAACGGGATATACCCTATACCGCAGTTAGCACGCCTAGCGGCATACTCTGGGAGTGGCTAGTAATGCCACAAGGGCTTAGTAATGCCCCTACCACGCTCAACAGATGTGTATCACATCTGTTGAGACCAGTACGAGAATTCGCGCCGAGTTATTTCGATGACGTATTCATCCATAGTCGGGCTATGGATGGAAAGTCGGACTTTGAGGTTCACAGGTACCACTTCCGACAGGTTCTTACAATCATGCGAAAGCATCAATTGTACGCAAAACTCAAGAAGTGCATATTTGCAGCAAGCGAAATACCACTTCTTGGGTGCATCGTTAATAAGAACGGTGTACGTCCTGATCCCGAAAAGATCAAGGCGATCACCGACTGGCCTGTGCCGGTTGATGTCAAAGGTCTTCGAAAATTCCTTGGGCTAGCGGCGTACTTGCATAAGTATTCACGCAATTACGCCGAGATGACTGTACACCTCTCTCGTTTGTTGAAAAAGAACGAGAGGTGGTTATGGAACGCTGAATGTCAACGCTCCTTTGATGGTATCAAAAAGAGCTTGATACAATCCCCAGTCATAGCAATAGCCAATCAGGACAGGCCATTTCATGTGGTCTGTGATGCCAGCGATTTCGCAATCGGCTGTGCAGTAATGCAGTACGATCTTGAAGGCGTTGAACGTGTCGTCTGCTATCAGTCGCGTCAGCTGCAACCAGCTGAGCTGAACTATCCAGTGCATGAAAAGGAACTCCTTGCCATGAAGTATGCACTCGCGAAGTTCAGAGTCTATCTATTAGGAGATAGACCCTTCATTGTTTACACTGACCATGCGTCATTACGCACGGCAGTGAACAGCCCGCACCTTTCACAACGATTGGCGCGGTGGCTGTCACTCTTTATGGAATACAACTTTACGGTCGAGCACAAACCAGGACGACTTAATGTCGTCGCTGATGCACTCTCACGTCGTCCCGACTTTGAACCAGTCGTGAAACCCAACAGCTATACAGTCACTGTTGCGGTTATGACGTCCTCAGTACCATTATCAACGTTGTATGATGATGTGAGGCGGGCATACGCCCAAGATGGTGAGGTAGTGAAGTTGTTGTCACATCTCTCCCAACCATCCCGAGAATCGTTGAAACGATTGTCGCCTGCGTATCGATCTGCATCAGATCGATACACTACTCGTAACGGTTTACTGTATTATACAGCCGTTTCTGGTGACACACCACGTGTTGTCATTCCAGATGATACTGATCTGCGTTTGCGGATCATGTTCGAGTATCACGATGCTCCTATAGGAGGACATCGGGGCCGGGAGAAAACATATCTCACGGTGAGTCGAGACTTTTACTGGCCCCGCCAGTATCAGTTTGTGCGAAAGTATGTTCGCGCATGCGAAGTCTGCCGAAGAGTGAAGTCAAGTCCTTCACTGCGTGCACCTTTACAGCCTCTACCGGTTCCGGCTGAGTGCTGGGAATCTATCTCAATGGATTTCGTCTATGGGTTACCCGAAGACGCACGCGGGAATACGGGTATTCTCGTATTTGTTGACAGATTCAGCAAAATGGTACACCTTGTGGCTGTACCAGAGTTTATCACGGCAATTGGCTGTGCTTGTGTCTTTATCGACACCATTTTCCGACTTCATGGATTGCTCCGTGAACTCGTATCAGACAGAGATCCACTATTCGCTGCTGATTTCTGGCGTTCCGTATTCAAATCACTCGGAACGCGCTTGAAGATGTCGACATCTGATCATCCAGAGTCAGATGGTCAGACGGAACGTGCCAATCGTGCCCCTGAAGAGATACTTCGAGGATACGTACACTCCTTTAGGAGTTGGAGTGAGTTTTTGCCAATGGTAGAGTTTGCCATTAACAACTCGGTGCATGCGTCCACGACACATACACCGTTTTACGTGAATGGCTTGCGCCATCCGCGTGTACCCACCTTACTAGAGTGTAACTCTGGCTTAAGGGGGGGGGGACTCGCGCGAGCAAAAACCAAATTGGTTCACGCTTATCACGCTCTGATGAAGAGGTCATTGCGTTTGATGCCGATATCGATAACATCGGTATCGAAGAAGATGATGCCAGTGAGAGTGCGGAAGCCCTCACTGAAGAAAAGATTGATGTTGCTGCAGTGCGCTCACAGCGCACTGAAGCTAACGAGTCATCAGATGAGTTCATACTGGCTCGTGAAACGGTAGTCCGTTTTGTGCAAGACTCCATCGCCGAAGCGGTGGATAAGCAAAAGCAAAACGCTGACAAGAATGAATGGCAAACACTCTTTTATTTAATAAAGATGACTTAGTCCTACTGTCTACGGTTAATCTACCAAAGCATGTAGTGACTAACTTGGGTAGCAGTAAACTACTACCCAAGTACATCGGCCCATTTCGTGTATTGCACCGCCTAGGCAATGCATACACGATCGAGTTACACGTAAGATGCGAACGCATCCCACGTTTTACGTTGGTCGGCTTAAGCCGTACCATCAGTACGCTGCTTCTTCCGATGAAGAACGCCCTTGCGCTCAAGCATCTCGCAGAGAGCCTTGTGCTCCCGATGGTGGGCATCAACAAGGGTCTGAAGAGCAGTTATCTCAGCCCGAGACCGATCAGCAATCCCACGAGATATTCTTAGCTCGTCACGCAGAGACGTCAGAGATCTCTCGTTCTCAAGCTGAGCAAAGGCAAACTCAGCTCGATGCTTTAAGACAGTGTCCGCCAGTTGGAGACGCCTGTCCCGCTCATGTTCGAGATCGTCGCGCAACCCTTGCGTTACGCGATCAAAGAAGCTCTCGGGAACACACGGATCCCCACGTTTGTGTGGAGAGCGTCTTTCCTCCTCCTCCACCTCCATTAGAGGACTCTCGCGGTGGCCGGCGCTATCTAGTTGAGCAGCTATTGAACCACCGCGACGTGAACGGACGAGCTATCTCGTCCGGTGGCGCGGCTATCCCCCGTCCTGGGATTCTTGGGATCACCGCTCCCAACTGATGGCTGACGTACTGGGTCTGGCTGAGCAGTACGACGCGGCACATCCTGTGCCGCAGAAGGACCGCCGGAGAAAGTCTTCCCGGCACGGTCGTAAAGGGATTTCAGGTTGTCAATCCCTTCGTGCATCTCACTAGAGATACGTACGCGCCACCACGGGCTATTAGGGAGGTAAGCCTCCTTAGGTGCTCGTGCAGAGTTGTTCACACAACATGGGCACGAGTCTCCCCAAGAGAGGCAGGGTAATCCTTTCTCCCTTGACAGACGATGCAGCTTGTAGTGTGCACCTGTCGGGGTTCGCTTTTCAATTTTATCACGAGCTTTGATAAGTTTGTCGTCCCAAACTTCATGACCTACATCCTCGAGGTTATGGATGTAGGCGTTCCACGCTTTAAGTAGTGAGGGACCATCACGCTTGTGATTCCCACTGTACCACCGATGTCTAAAGAAAGCATCGATGAAGAACTCATTCTCAGCGCGAAAGTTTTTTGCGCTGGGGTCAAGGTGATGGTTTCTTGACGAATCGAACAACCGTGTTCGATAACGATCACTCGTCGTCGCCGACAAGTGATCCATGAAGGATTTGGGAGGCATCCATGCCTTCTTCTCAGGAGCGAGACGCAAGACACTGCGGTCCCGCTCTTCCTGCGATGTGCCGACAGAAGGAATGGCACCACGTTGCGAAGTGGTGTCCATAGGAGAACCGACACAACTGTTAGCGCCCGAGTCTCGCGACCTCGAGCGCCTTCGCTTCGGCGATGTTCATCTGATTCGTCAGATGAACCAAAGATGCTACGACGCATAGCATCATCCATGCCACGCTTGGCAGGCGGCTTGGATTCGATCGCAGTCGATACGGATCCGTCTTCCGTATCAGGAGAGAATGAGACTCCGAGCTCATACTCTGTGAAGACATGAGTGTCTTCATGACCAGCACCTGCATCACCAAGTGACACAGGCTGAGTCGCTTCAGCAACCGATGAGACATCAGTTGCTGTAGTTTCTGCTTCGGCTTCCGAACAGAGACGTGCGGACGCGCTCTCGGCGACCTTGCTCGCGCATCGCATGGGCTTGTTAACCATGCGATGAGATGTTGGAAAGTGGACGCGGACCAACAAGTGCAAACCCTGTCCCAAATTTTTGGGACGAGTATCCAATTAGTCAAATAGTCACTAAAGTGACTGATGGTTAAGGGGGGGTGATGTAACGGGGTGAATCGTTACATTACTATTTATAAGAAATTGTTAATAGAATATAACTACAAGAGTTATCTTCTCGGAATCTTGTCAGAAAGACAAATATTCTGCAGCACTTACGAGTAGTTCCTAATTGGTTGATAGAGGCCATTATATCAACCAACGAAGACGCACCACGATAGACGCACGCAATGAGTGGTGAGCAGATAGTTGACATGCACATTTGTATTCAGACATAGTTAGATGAAGATAAATAGTGATTTATTGCAGACATTAACTATGACAAATACAGTTCTACTTTTTACTTTAACCAAGTACTCGCTTCTTCTAACCATCTTCCTCTGCACGTACGAGTGTACGTGAAGTTACGAGGCACCGCCTTATTCTGTCATCAGAATAAGTAGCTCGTACTGTCACCAGTACAAGCTTTAGGGTGCGTCGTTACAAAACCCACTCCACTACATCCACGTCTTCGCACGCCTTGCCAAGTTCGATTGATCAAATGCAATCTGCATTGCTCATCGACGACGTGACGAGCCTTTTTGGCATTGTCTAGTTACACGAACCATCTTAACAGAAAGTCTTCATCGGCTCCCTTGTACTTTGAGATGTCAACCCATAGGGTTTTGGTAGACATGTGTACGCCGACCCGGTAGCAGTGGCCTGCTGCTGTCTCAAAATTTCGAACTCATTAGCACTATATTCGCTCAACAGCCTTGTCTGTGGAGAACCTTGTTGGTGAATAAAGGTTACTTTTTCCCGCTAGACGTCAAGTTCATTCAGAATGAACTTGACGATTGTGGCGCTGTCCGTACGGCCCTAGGGCGGATAGCATTGCGCCAACGGCTTCGTGCCCTATCGTCGAACTCAAATGTCGACAACATTCCATTTAATTTGACAAAATCGGGAGTAGCTCTCATGTGTTGGATGACATTCATTCCCCTCGTCATCCAACATGTCTATGGTCATTGCAAGGACCACGAAGTGCCTATAGATGTAACAGGGCACACCTTTTGCAGCTAACTGAATAAGTCTTGCACTGTTAACAGTACAAGGGTGTGTGCGTCCGTATACCTCACGTACACGTACGTGTAGAGGAAAATTGCAAAACGGAGTGAGAGTACTTAGTAAACGTAAAAATTGGAGCTGTAGTCAGTATAGTTAATCCATTTAAAAAATACCTTTTTGACTTCATTTAACTATGTCTAAGTACAAACATGTATTGTAACTATCTGCGCACCACTCATTGCGTGCTTTTGTCGTGGCTAGACTTAGTTGGTTATTATCGAAATTTATTTTAATCAATTAGCAGTGTGGTACATCTTTAAGGCAGATTTTTTTATTATTATAACATTGTGAAATATTGTGCATGTATTTACATAATATTCATACTCGATAATTACCTTATGTAAATTAACATGTAACGGAGGCATCCTATTGCATCCATGGTGGACGACAATTTTTACAAGTTAGTGGGGGATAAAAGGTACTGGGGGTCTGTTTTTGGAGCGAGGACTAAAATTGGTGCCATAAGTGGTATGTTGACACCCGCAAAATATAATAGTATTTGTCCGTAAGTCGTATTCGCATGCCAACTGCATCAGGTATGGCAGTGGATGAATTGACCCGTCATCGGAAGATTCCATTCATAAATAATCTCAGCGCGTTCACCACAAGTCTCTGAAATCAAGCGTTCTCCAGGATGTTTATGCTCAAGAAAAAGAAACCGCAGATGGACAGTGTCAAGTTAATGAAGCTGATGGCGTGGGATATCTCCAAGATTGCGCTTGTTTTCGTCGGCATTCGCGCCGCTTCTGTCATTCTCAACCAGGAGAAATAGATGGTGTGCAAGTGGACGATGGGGGCTTGAGACCTGGACGCTGCTCATCCTCAAAGGACTGTCGTGATCCCCGGCAAAACTAATGGCTACGATGTGAAGAACACGTTCCGATTCGAAAGTGTTGTGTACGCATGAGTCATTTCTGTATTGACTAATGCACTTGCTAATGACTGGTTGCGGTAGTCGTGCAATAACACAAATGTTGTGCTCCAAGTAATCCTTTATTATCTTTCTATGCTTGCTACTCTTCCTCTCCCTCTTCTTCTCCAATCAGCTCCTCATCCACCAGTGTGAACGACTCTAATGCGATGTTACACTTCTCGCCAAGCACACCAAGAGCCTCGGGCAACAGCTCTTCAGGCTTAATCATCCCGACAGATTCGATGCTGAAGATAAAGTGGTCACTTTGACGGCCAAGACGAATCCTCTCGTTCCATCCAGGCTCGCGAATACAGTTCCGGCACATCGTACAGGAGCGCTCGTCCTTCACCACGGCCGTTGGGACACCACCAATGTCTTCGATATCGAACACTCCCGTCCGGCACTCGCCCACTAAACGCTTTGCATCAATACCCTCCACCTTCGCCATAAGCTCAACCTTGGGCATCAGGCGGTACGATGCTGTGGCAACAGGCGAGAACTTTGCGTGGTCCTTGCCCACACCCTTGCGACAATGAGCCTCTAGCGCAATGCTCTGACCTGGACGCAGCTTTGCGATCAATATGTCCTCGCTTACGGGCCGAATCAATCCAAATCGCTCTTCCTGGTTACCCTGGGGCACCCACTCGAGGTCCCGCGAATACACTGCATATAGTATTGGCAATAGAAATTCGTCAGCTCCAGGACCACGCATTCATCGCTAGCGCCGCACTGTTCGACCAAAACGGACCTGAAGAGCATAACGCCTTAGTCGGATCCTTCAAGTGGTCAGGGTCAAGTTTACAGGTAACATCAAGCTTAAAAACAATTGTGTTTTCGTCCGTAGCTTCGGCCTCTTCGTCAGCTGAGAAGGCTTGAAATTCGCGCGGATCCACGCTTAGCGGCACAAGACCGAGTCGATGAGCTAACACTTCGTCCTGTATGATGGATGAGTTGTTCCAGATGTACACGTGCTCGATAGCCATGGTTGGAACCTCAGCCAGCAGAATGCGGCGTAACGCATTGGCAATGGCAGCGTCGACGCCAATGAGATCGAAGACGATCTCGTCGTCCGATAGGCTTTGGATTTTGACTTTTATCTGGTGCTTGAATTGTTCCAAAAAGCTGTAGCTGCTCTCGCTTTCCGCATCAGGCTACTCGGTGGCAGTTCGGGAGATCAGATACGACTCACACACAAAACATGAAGCAGTTCAAATGAGGTATCACTCACTTGGTGCGGTGCATCTTGGCCCACGCGAATTATTTTTGGAGACTTGCCCATGTTGTAATGGTGATCGCGGCGCTACGGAGACCAAGTTGTCAGCGGAGACAACGATTTGAGTGAAACGACACAAACGGCCTCCAGCCATTCGAAGTTGAGCCCTCTCAAACATGATATGAACAGAGCAAAATATTCGAGCCTCTTTACTGTTTTAGCGTTTGTTCGTTGTCGTGGTCTTTCTATCCCACACTTCCTCGCAATGTAACACTCCTAAAAATGGCTGAATGTGCACCCACAATTGGTCCTTCATCTAGTTTTTGACACTCAGACTTTCGGGTACCAAGTGCATAATCTCGATGTGTCCATTCCCATTCTCTTCCAATTAATCGCTCAAGAAAAAAAAAGGTTTAGGAAAAACTGCTCTTCATTGCTCCTTTCGTCTCGAGCAAGCACCAGACTGCAGCAAAATAGTATCTGGAGTCTGTCTGTATGCCCTACCACTCTTCGTATAACGTGCATCATCCAAAGCTTCCCCTCTTACTTGGTGTACGTAATTTTACGGGTCTTGAGTGGCGCCCATTTCAGGCGCTTGTAGTATCCAGTTAGTCCGCACAGCGCCGCCAGAACAATGACTGCCTGCATGCCCTGCTTCTTCCGCACGTCGTGCTCGGGCTCAGCAGCCCATGCAAGGAAAACCGACACGTCCTTAGCCATCTGCGAAGTTGTGCATGGCGTGCCGTCCTCATAATCGATCTGGCCGTCCTGCAACTGACGCTCCATGGCAATTGCACCCCCGCCGAAGTATGGGTTGTAGTGCAGGCCATCTAGCAGTTCCATTCCTTCAGGTGGGTCGACATAGCCCGTCAGAAGCGCAAACAGATAATCAGCACCGGCATGACGCGCCTTGACCATCAGCGAGAGATCAGGCGGAATGGCACCATTGTTGGCAGCAGCAGCAGCCTCGTCATTAGCGTACGGCCGTGGAAGAGGGTCTGACAGCTTGCCGGGCCGTTCAAACATCTCGCCCTCGTCGTTAGGGCCATCAGTGACGTCCGTATCAGCCGCAATTGCCTTGAGTTCCTCTTCGGTGTGGGTCACACCGACCAAGTTGCGGAAGCAGATGCGGTCCAGGCTGTGGCACGACGCACAAACCTCACGGTACACTTGATATCCGCGACGCACACTGGCGTAGTCGAACGAGGACAGTGGACCCTGATAGTCAAACCCGTAGTGCAGAGCTTCAATCTGGTCGCTGCTGAAGGCCGTGGTACCCGTCAGCACTGATCCGCCTAACAGAGTGCCGGCGCCCACCTGAAGCAGGGGCGTACAGAAAGACAAGTGTTACGTTAAGCAAACTGCACAGTTTGAATGCAGCCAGTAGCAGCGCTGGAAGATCAGACGGCCGTGCGATTGACTATTTGTATGGCGCATGAATTCTGGTGTAAACGCTACGAACCTTGGCAGCACGTTGCAACAGCTTGGCGCGGTTAATCATCGAGGCCCAAGAACGCGTAGTAGCTGGGTCGCTGTTTATGTGCGTGTGAAGCGGCGAGAGTCCCCTCAGCCGCACATCGATCGACGCGTCGCCTCTCCTGAATAACAGCAGACAGTGCTATCATTGACAAGGTCATCCCTCTTATGTGGACTACACCAGGGCTCTGGAATAGATGAATGAGGAGCCACAGATTTGGTACAGGACGATACAGCCGATTCTTCCCCGACGAACAAATATGGTAAGGAATAAGTGGAGCTCTACGTGGCTGTGTAAGTACAGACACGAGGTCGTGTGTAAGCATTATCTGACAACCGTAATGTTTTGCTTTCCTGTAGTCAGCGCTATTCAGTCTCCAGGGATTACTCACCGTCATACTGCTCTTCATCTGCACCTGCACGTACATTAAAATGAAATTTCCTACACTCTTTGACCGAGGGCAGCTGCCAGGAAAGCACGAGGGTCTTGGTGGGCTTTGCTGGAAGGCTTCGCGCATTGGAGAGCGGAAGAGTCAGTACGTCGCCGGTGCTCTTGTTCTCATGGCTATCCACACGCTCTTCTTTTCATAGACCGGTCAGTAAGGTGCAATACAGCGCGCGTAGCCTGGAGTGTTGTCTGTTTAGCAGATTTAGTCAAGCTTTTCGCTACTCTGGCTACATGGGTAGCCATCGTGAATAGTCTCTTACAGTAGCGGAATATACCTCAATCTCATTTGTTTTGGAGCCAGGTAGCATGGAAACACGGTTGTGTGGAGGACTCACTATGGCAAGCCACCACGTCCCTGTGACGAAAAAGACAATGCGGAAATTAAACTGGAGACAAAGTGAGTTTCATTTCCAATCTTGTTGTTGGGCAACAAAGTCCGTATTGCCATACCTCCTCAGACACGTTATTCAATCGCTAAGAGCAATAAGCGCATTCTTGACTACCCCGCCAGGCTTCTCTCGGCACCGTCAGGTAACGCATGAAAAAACTTTGAGCTCAGTCGCTGCACTTCTCAGCAAGAACGGCGTTGAAGTCGAAGCGTTTACGTAGCCAAAAGCTTGAAGTCGTCACTTGCGAGCTTAGTTCTTCTTCGGAGCGGCACCACCACTGGTGCCCATACCCATGACCGTCTTAAACGTGTCGTAGATCCACCACTGAGCCCCCGTCAGCGTACCGATCATAATGATACGCGTTCCCAGACCCTTGGTAGCCAAATTCACCAGACCGGTCTCGCTGGCAATCTGGCCAAAACCCTTTCCCTTGTTCTCGGCCTTTCCCATGAGGGACACAACCGAGTCGGCGGGGTGCGACACAATAGCACAAATCACACCAGCCAGATAGCCCGAGGCGAAAGTGACGCCGAGTTGCGTGCTCTTGGGGTACGTGCTCTTGGGCTCCGTGAACACGTATGTGTAAAAGGCCTCAACCACCTTTTCGAAGAAAAAGAACTTGGCCATCGTGTAAGGGATCTGGCGTGACCAGAGGGGAACAAGCGAACCAAACGGGAAGCGAGTCTCGGCTGAGTTGGCCTTCATTGCGGCCACAGCTGCACCAAACTCAACAGGGAATGTGCCGGCAGGCGAGGTCTGCACCTTCACTTTGACCATCTCCATGGGGCAGAGCGCCATATCGGCAAAGAACTCCGCCGAGGCGGAACCAGCCAAATAAATGGCTCCTCGGTACTTGTAGGCGTTCTCCTCCCCAGCCATCGTACTGTACGTGTCCTTGAAAAACTCATAAAAGCCGAACTTGCACAAGCCCTGAGCCGAGTAGCCAATGGCGGTGGGGACCCAGCCCTTGAACAGCGCGCCTGCGCCCTCCTCCGAGGCGATGGTCTTGAGGCCCGGTAGAAGGCCGTTGAACTTGGTCGGGTTGACCTGCATATTGCACTTGACCACATCCAGCGGGGTGATGCCCGTGTGAGTGAGGCCGCACGAGAGGACACCGCCAATCATGCACTTGCCGTAGTAGGCGCTGTCGTGGATGGGATCATGCGAAAGACGGGCGTCCCACTTGGCAGCTGACGTGGCCAGTAACAAGGACGGACGAGCTTGAGGGGTGCCAACTGATGGTGCAGCGGGGTTTAAGGTCGAGATGACGGGAAAGAAGGCACTCATGGTCAAAGGGGCGTTGCGATGTCGACGACTGGATGGCGAATGACACGGGGACGAAATATCTGGGAGGCTCCGAATTTGAACGGCTGACAAGTCGATTGCGGCTGAAGTAAGCATTAAGTTGCAACGCCAGAAGCTACCACGAAAACCCTAAGCGCAATAAAATACTGGATCTTTTCTGGTAGGAAACTTTCAAACTTTATTCTAAGCTGCTAAACCAATCGGTGGCGGATCTGAGAATCGAGACTGTCAAACGCGAGGATACCTACCGTAAAAACTGCGGTCTACGCTAGAATCGAAAATTATACACTAAAAATAATGTCTACGATATGATGCACAACGCTAGAATCGGAAATTATGCTCTAAAAATAATGTCTACGATATGGTGCACATTTCATTGTACCACTGCACATCCAAGGTCGACGTAGAGTCACAACTGTTGAAACAAATAATTCGGCTAGGACCGTCTACCAAAAATTGTGTGCGACAAGAATATTCTCTCACAAATGTAAGGGAATGGTAATCCACACACCCCACTTTTTGCTATCCGTACACCCCCTAAACTGATATTCATAAAGTACCCGTCGGTGATTGGACAACATTTGAAAAGCACCTTTTAACACTATTTTTAAGCGTTATAACGCGTTGTGTAAGTTCCTACTAAACTAGTATGCTCACGCTCAACACGCAATCATGACGCCTTTAAATTTCAAGCTCGTTCCTTGTTGAACATTATCTCGATGTCTTCTGTGGCAACAATTACTCGAGAGAGTGCGTACAATACTCTTGTGGATGCACAGACTGCTGTATCAAAAGCTGGTGATATAAAAGATTTTTGCGTTGAGTCGCTTCAGAGCAAAGTAGATAGGTCAATCGGGAAAACTGTGTCGCTTAATTTTATTTATGGAGGAAAGTATAACTTGGGAGGTCACGACGTTCACAACACGAGTACTCATCTAGTTCGGTGCCTACGTCACACCATCGTATGGAGGGCAGAAAAACGCGTAGAACACAATCACGAGCGCATCGTCAATAACCCAGGTCTCGCGAGTGCGAGAAATTGTGACTGGATGAGCCTGTTACATGTAATTAACTTTGATACTTGGTAATTAAATTATAGATAAAAAAGTTGATGTTGTGCATAAGGACACTTTTTGGTTGGGGTGCCACGAAACTTCACGTACACAAGTACGTGCAGAGGAAGCTATACTACTCAACAGCTAGTTGGAGTAAAAGGTACATAGGAATTGCATTTAATAAAGCTAAGCTACCAATAACTCCAGTCTTTATCTAACTATATTAATCTACATTGTCGTATGACGACAACCTGCTCACCACTCATTACGCGCGTCTGGTAGCGATTGGTGGTAGTCTTGGTTGATACGTCTTTATCAACCAATCCTTGAGCAGCGCATGAATATCATCCTGCGGGGATCATACTCCTTCAATATTATACATCTCGGATAAAATTGGCAGGGAAAAGTCACGCTGGACAATCTCTCAATTGACACCAGACGGTGTCATTATTCATGTAACGTGTAACGGGGTGAATCGTTACATAACAATTTATAAGAAATTGTTAATAGCATATAAATGTAAGAGTTATATTCTCAGAATATTGTCATAAGGACAATATTCTGTAGCACTTACAAGTAGTTCCTAATTGGTTGATATAGGCCATTATACCAACCAACGAAGACGCGCCACGACAGACGCACGCAATGGGTGGTGAGCAGATAATTGATTTACACATTTGTATTTAGACATAGTTAGATGAAGATAAACAGTGGTTTATTGCAGACATTAACTATTATAAACACAGTTCTACTTTTTACTTTAACCAAGTACTCGCTTCTTCTTACCGTCTTCCTCTGCACGTACCAGTGTACGTGAAGTTACGAGGCACCGCCTTATTCTGTCATCAGAATAAGTAGCTTGTACTGTCACCAGTACAAGCTTCAGGGTGCCCAGTTACACCTGGTAGCACTTCGTAGTCCGTCCAAGGACCACGTTCACATTTAACATGAATATGTTGGATGATGAAGATGACCAAAGCTTTCACGCTACGCGTGACGGCTACTCCCATTTGAGCGATGTCGAATGGGATGCGGTTGAACGAATGGGTTCGACCATGGGCATCCATGCTGTTAGCGTCATGCTAGAGGCTCTCAATAGAGATGCCCAACATGCTACTATCGCCAAGTTCATTCAAAATGAACTTGACGCAGAACGCGAGAAAGTAGCCTTGCTTCACCAACAAGGTTCTCATCAAGCAGAGTTGTTGAGAGAACAGGGTGCTCAACAGTTTAAACTGTTGAGACAGCAGCAGGCTGCTGCTGGTGGGTCGATGAATTCGCGTCGAACCGAGACCTTGAAGATTGACATCTCCAAGTATAGGGGAGTCGAAGAGGACTCCCTCTTGAGATGGTTCGTCGAATTGGATGACGCCATAAGGGCGCGTCGCATCGACGACGGGGAAATGCAAGTTGCATTTGCCCAGTCAAATCTGGTAGGACGTGCCAAGACTTGGGCTTTGGGGCTCAAGTTGCACGACCCATGTGCGTTTGGGTCGTTGGAAGTCTTCAAGTCGCGGCTCAGACAAACGTTTGAACCGCCTAGAGCTGAGTTCAGAGCTCGAACTGAACTCTTGAAGCTCAAACAAGGTAAGCGTGATACGCACGCTTACGCACAACATATGCGACATCTCACGAGTTGTATAAGTTTCAACCCGGATGATGAACACACGTTGGTTTCGGTGTTCATGCAGGGTCTTGCGGATGGTCCCGTCAAGTATCACCTGTTCCGACTTGAACTAGATTCACTAGAACAAGCCATTTCCATTGCGGAAAAGGAAGACTTCAGTCTGAGACAGGCTCGCGCCAGCTCGACATCATATCTTCAACCGAGACGATATGACAACGGAGGTTTAGATCCGATGGAACTCTGTTATGCCGAGAGCGAGAAGGCTCGCTCTACAGACTACAAGAAGTTGCAGAAATGCAACAGATGTCAGAAGACAGGACACTACGCTTACGAGTGTAGTGCCCCTCGTCCAGTGTCTCGCAACACTGGGCGTAGTGACCGTCCACCCATGAGAAAGGGGCAGGGACGAGGGTCCGCAGTTGGTGCAAAGACGCAACAACGGGATGGACCGTCAAAAAACGGACAGGATCAGTAGGTGCGGAGCACCCTACTGGTCTAGCAACGTCAAGAGAATTTGTAGGCCTCTTGATGAAGGTTGCTCCCAACACACAAACGTTGTGCGTTGCTGCTCTAGGTAATGAGGTCTCATTCATTACCTTGAAACTCGAAGTGACAAATAGTTGTCCCTTCGAGCTCTAGTCGATTGTGGGGCGTCCAACAATTTTGTGCGACGCCAATCGCTAGAAGATGGTCACTTCAAGTTCAGTGAATGTGACACACCTCCTACGAGGATGACGGTACGTCTTGCGACAGGCGCATCCGTAACCGTCATGAAGCGTATAGTGAAGATCCACTATACGCTAGAAGATACCCAATATGATGATGACTTTATCGTATTGGATTTGGATGACAAATTTGATGTCATCCTTGGAATACCGTGGCTCAGAAGGTACGAACCACGAGTAAACTGGCAACATCGAACAGTAACGATGCCTGCCGCTTGTTCATCAGATGGCCATCTGATGAATGTTTTGGAGCGTCCACAAGCGTGTGGATGTACTACGAGTGAGTGCGATGGCCTCACTTGTGGTACGGTCGTTAGTACGACTGCACAAAACCTTAGTGTACCAAACGGTTACACTTCGGAGCAAAGTTCCGGCGGCTGTGAGGAAACACAGGCTGCGCCGAAGGTCCACCACTCGAATAAGTCGGGTGGACTGGGACAAAGATGTATCCCTAGCGGGGAACATCTAGAAGAGAAACAAATGATCGCTCAGGTTTAAGCGAAACGATAATCCTAGATCGACTGGAGAGTCTTTCGTAGAGGATCTCGCTGTAATTGCGCAACCCCAGCTAGAGGAAGTAAAGGGAATAAGTCCCGATATTACAATACGGCGGAAACAAGTTCCCTGAAACCCGAGGGAATAAGTCCCCGGGAAGCCGAAGGAATAAGTCCTTCGAAGCCTGAGGGAATAAGTCCCCAGGAAATGACAGAGACATTGAATGTCCTAGTCAATGACGGATCAAGTGTAGGCGCTTATACACTTGATCTGATTGCGTCTCCGAAGTTGACTTCGGAGATCACTCAGTTGCCAACGCTCGAACATAAAAGGTTCTTGCGTGATCTGCGTAGTGGCAAAGTCAAGCAGATCTGCGTACTCGTCGCTGACGACGAGTGTGTAGCCGACATAAGGTCAGCAACAGTGTTTACTGAGAACGAGAGAGTTCTCAGTAGTTCATCTATGGACGAGAGTGTCCCGGATGAAAAGACACGAGTTGAGCGATATGACTCTCAATCACGGGAATCGCTCAAGACAAATCCTCTCTATGAAGATTTGGTTGAATTTAAGGATGTATTCCCTGAAACTGTTCCGTGCGAATTACCGAAGAATAAAGGTATTCGACACGAGGTCGAGCTTAAACCAGGCTCGAAGTACTGTGTCATGAAGCAGTGGCCACTGCCTTGTGAACAAGTACTTGCGATCGACAAGTTCTTTGCCGATCGTTTAGCTGCGGGCCATGTGAGAGAATCAACTTCCCCACATAGCTCTCCGACCTACTGTGTGCGAAAAGCAACAGGAGGGTGGCGGATAGTGCATGCATTTAGCAAGTTGAATGCTGCAACGGTACCGGCTCAGACGCCGATACCAAGGAAGGACGTAATCATTGATGGAATGTCAAAGAGTACTATCTTTTCGTCCATGGATTTGATGGATGGCTTCTGTCAAATCCTTATACGAGAACGGGATATACCCTATACCGCAGTTAGCACGCCTAGCGGCATGCTCTGGGAACGGCTAGTAATGCCACAAGGGCTTAGTAATGCCCCTGCCACGTTCAACAGATGTGTATCACATCTGTTGAGACCAGTACGAGAATTCGCGCCGAGTTATTTCGATGACGTATTTATCCACAGTCGAGCTATGGATGGAAATTCGGACGTTGAGGTTCACAGGTACCACGTCCGACAAGTTCTTACAATCATGCGAAAGCATCAATTGTATACTAACCTCAAGAAGTTTATATTTGCGGCAAGCGAAATACCACTTCTTGGGTGCATCGTTAATAAGAACGGTGTACGTCCTGATCCCGAAAAGATCAAGGCGATCACCGACTGGCCTGTGCCGGTTGATGTCAAAGGTCTTCGAAAATTCCTTGGGCTAGCGGCGTATTTGCACAAGAATTCACGCAATTACGCCGAGATGACTGTGCACCTCTCTCGTTTGTTGAAAAAGAAGGAGAGGTGGTTATGGAACGCTGAACGTCAACGCTCCTTTGATGGTATCAAGCAGAGCTTGATGCAATCCCCAGTCCTAGCAATAGCCGATCAGGACAGGCCATTTCATGTGGTCTGTGATGCCAGCGATTTCGCAATCGGCTGTGCAGTAATGCAGTACGATCTTGAAGGCGTTGAACGCGTCGTCTGCTATCAGTCGCGTCAGCTGCAACCAGCTGAGCGGAACTATCCAGTGCATGACAAGGAACTCCTTGCCATGAAGTATGCACTCGAGAAGTTCAGAGTCTGTCTATTAGGAGATATACCCTTCGTTGTTTACACTGACCATGCGTCATTACGCACGGCAGTGAACAGCCCGCACCTTTCACAACGAATGGCGCGGTGGTTGTCATTCTTTGCAAAGTACAACTTTACGGTCGAGTACAAACCAGGACGACTTAATGTCGTCGCTGATGCACTCTCACGTCGTCCCGACTTTGAACCAGTCGTGAAACCCAACAGTGAGACAGTCACTGTTGCGGTTATGACGTCCTCAGTCCCATCTACAACGTTGTATGATGATGTGAGGCGGGCATACGCCCAAGATGGTGAGATTGCGAAGTTGTTGACACATCTCTCACAGCCATCTCGAGAATCGTTGAAACGATTGTCTTCTGCGTATCGATCTGCATCATATCGATACACTACTCGCGACGGTTTACTGTATTATACAGCCGTTTCTGGGGACACACCACGTGTTGTCATTCCAGATAATACTGATCTGCGTTTGCGGATCATGTTCGAGTATCACAATGCTCCTATAGGAGGACATCGTGGCCGGGAGAAAACATATCTCACGGTGAGTCGAGACTTTTACTGGCCCCGCCTGTATCAGTTTGTGCGAAAGCATGTTCGCGCATGCGAAGTCTGTCAACGAGTGAAGTCAAGTCCTTCACTGCGTGCACCTTTACAGCCTCTACCGGTTCCGGCTGAGTGCTGGGAATCTATATCAATGGATTTCGTCTTCGGGTTACCCAAAGACGCTCGCGGGAATACGGGTATTCTCGTATTTGTTGACAGATTCAGCAAAATGGTACACCTTGTGGCTGTACCAGAGACAATCACGGCAAGTGGCTGTGCTTGTGTCTTTATTGACACCATCTTCCGACTTCATGGGTTGCCCCGTGAACTCGTATCAGACAGAGATCCACGATTCGCTGCTGATTTCTGGCGTTCCGTGTTCAAATCACTCGGAACGCGCTTGAAGATGTCGACATCTGATCATCCAGAGTCAGATGGTCAGACGGAACGTGCCAACCGTGTCCTTGAAGAGATACTTCGAGGATACGTACACTCCTTTAGGAGTTGGAGTGAGTTTTTGCCAATGGTAGATTTTGCCATTAACAACTCGGTGCATGCGTCCACGACCCATACACCGTTTACGTGAATGGCTTGCGCCATCCGCGTGTACTCACCTTACTAGAGTGTAACTCTGGTTTAAGGGGGGGAGTCGCGCGAGCAAAAACGATTTGGTTCACGCTCATCACGCTCTGACGGCGAAGAGGTCATTGCGTTTGATGCCGATATCGACAACATCGATATCGAAGAAGATGATGCCAGTGAGAGTGCGGAAGCCCTCACTGAAGAAAAGGTTGTTGTTGCTGCAGTGCGATCACAGCGCACTAAAGCTAACGAGTCATCAGATGAGTTCATACTGGCTCATGAAACGGTAGTCCGTTTTGTGCAAGATTCCATCGCCGAAGCGGTGGATAAGCAAAAGCAAAACGCTGACAAGAATAGAAGGGCAAACACTCTTTTATTTAATTAAGGTGACTTAGTCCTACTGTCTACGGTTAATCTACCAAAGCATGTAGTGACTTACTTGGGTAGCAGTAAATTACTACCCAAGTACATCGGCCTATTTCGTGTTTTGCACCGCCTAGGCAATGCACACACGATCGAGTTGCCACGTAGGATGCGAACGCATCCCACGTTTTACGTTGGTCGGCTTAAGCCGTACCATCAGTACGCTGCTTCTTCCGATGAAGAACGCCCTTGCGCTCAAGCATCTCGCTGTGCTCCCGATGGTGGGAATCGACAAGGGTCTGAAGAGCAGCTATCTCATCCCGAGACTGCTCAACAATCCCACGAGCTACCCTTAGCTCGTCACGAAGAGATGTCTGAGATCTCTCGTTCTCAAGCTGAGCAAAGGCAAACTCAGCTCGATGCTTCAAGACAGTGTCCGCCATTTGGAGACGCCTGTCCCGCTCATGTTCGAGATCGTTGCGTAACCCTGCGTTACGCGATCAAAGAAGATATCGGGAACACACGGATCCCCATGATCGTGTGGAGAGCGTCTTTCCTCCTCCTCCACCTCCATTAGAGGACTCTCGCGGTGGCCAGCGCTATCTAGTTGAGCGGCTGTTGAACCACCGCGACGTGAACGGACGTCGGACGAGTTATCTCGTCCGGTGGCGCGGCTATCCCCCGTCCTGGGATACTTGGGAGCCCCGCTCCCAACTGATGATTGACGTACTGGGTTTGGTTGAGCAGTACGACGCGGCACATCCTGGGTTGCAGAAGGACCGCCGGAGAAAGTCTTCCCGGCACGGTCGTAAAGGGATTTCAGGTTGTCAATCCTTTCGTACATCTCAGTAGAGATACGTACGCGCCACCAAGGGCGGGTAAGGAGGTAAGCCTCCTTAGGTGCTCTTGCAGAGTTGTTCACACAACATGGGCACGAGTCTCCCCAAGATAGGCAGGGTAATCCTTTCTCCCTTGACAGACGATGCAGCTTGTAGCGTGCACCTGTCGGGGTTCGCTTTTCAAACTTATCACGAGCTTTGATAAGTTTGTCGTTCCAAGCGTCACGACCTACATCCTCAAAAGGTTATGGATGTAGGCGTTCCACGCCTGAAGTAGTGAGGGACCATCACGTTTGTGATTCCCACTGTACCATCGATGATTGAAGAAAGCATCGATGAAGAACTCATTCTCAGCGCGATAGTTTTTCGCACTGGGGTCAAGGTGATGGATCCTTGACGAATCGAACAATCGTGTTCGATAACGATCACTCGTCGTCGCCGAAAAGTGATCCATGACGGATTTAGGATGCATCCATGCCTTCTTCTCGGGAGCGAGACGCAACACATTGCGGTCCCGCTCTTCCTGCGACGTGCCGACAGAAGTACGGGCACCTCGCTGTGAAGTGGTGTCCATAGGAGAACCGACACCACTGTTAGCGCCCGAGTCTCGCGACCTCGAGCGCCTTCGCTTCGGCGATGGTTCATCTGATTCGTCAGATGAGCCAAAGATGCTGCGACGCAAAGTATCGTCCATGCCACGCTTGGCAGGCGGCTTGGATTCAATCGCCGTCGATACGGATCCGTCTTCCGTATCAGGAGAGTATGAGACACCGAGCTCATACTCTGTTAAGACATGAGTGTCTTCATGACCAGCGCCTGCATCACCAAGTGACACAGGCTGGGTCGCTTCAGCAACCGATGAGACATCGGTTGCTGTAGTTTCTGCTTCGGCGTCCGCACAGAGACGTGCGGACGCGCTTTCGGCGGCCTTGCTCGTGCATCGCATGGGCTTGTTAACCATGCGATGAAATGTTGGAAAGTGGACTCGGACCAACAAGTGCAAACCCTGTCCCAAATTTTTGAGATGAGTATCCATTTAGTCAATTAGTCACTAAAGTGACTGATGGTTAAGGGGGGTGATGTAACGGGGTGAATCGTTACATAACAATTTATAAGAAATTGTTAATAGCATATAAATGTAAGAGTTATATTCTCAGAATATTGTCATAAGGACAATATTCTGTAGCACTTACAAGTAGTTCCTAATTGGTTGATATAGGCCATTATACCAACCAACGAAGACGCGCCACGACAGACGCACGCAATGGGTGGTGAGCAGATAATTGATTTACACATTTGTATTTAGACATAGTTAGATGAAGATAAATAGGGATTTATTGCAGACATTAACTATGGTAAATACAGTTCTACTTTTTACTTTAACCAAGTACTCGCTTCTCCCAACCGTCTTCCTCTGCACGTACGAGTGTACGTGAAGTTACGAGGCACCGCCTTATTCTGTCATCAGAATAAGTAGCTTGTACTGTCACCAGTACAAGCTTCAGGGTGGCCCGTTACATAACGGGCTCCCCGTTACATCACCTGCTCCCTTAGCTATCAATCACCCGTCGGTTAAAAAGATTGATTGGGACAGGGTGATTACCGTCGGATCACTCTGAGAAAGGGGAGCATGTTGTTTAAATTTCAACTCATTCGCCAATTCATCGCATGGTGTCAAACCCATGCGGTGCGCTGCTGGAGTAGCTACTCTCTTCGGCTGCACGCATGCGTACAGCAGAAGAGAGTACTTCTTAAGCCTCAGCAGCAGGTGGTTATTCGTCTGCTGTTGCAAGTTATCAACAGGCAGTGCTTGTTGCGACTAGTCCACGTGCGACAGACGCACCCGCTGCGTCTGCAGCGGGTGTTGCAACTCGCAGCGTGGATGAGCCTGAATTAGAGCTCATCTATTTTGGCGAGGCGAATGATGCATCGGAATCAAATGCGACACCTCGCGCCTCCTAATCACCTGGGGCGGACATTACTAGATCCAGGTTGACTGGCTCTGGGAAACATGGTGCTATCATTTCAATGTATTCAGACCGAGTGATTCTTTTACGAATCCTCGTCTCACCCAAGTCCATCTGACGATAGGGCGCGTGGTGATGGTGATGCACATATGCATCACCCTGAGAGAAGCAAATTGAGGGATAGAGCTGCCACTGGTGTCAGTGCTCATGCAGGTACCACACGAGAGACCAGGGACCTCAATATCCTGCGCCATCTCCTCAAGTGCAATCTCCATGGATGCCATCATTCAATTTTTAGACCAAGTAGCCAGTATGACCACTGAACGAGATCGAAAACTCTGTTTTTAAATGTAGGAGGATCTGTCCTCCTAATTTGAGCACGAAAAGTATCCGTGCTGAGGAAGAATTTTCGCTGATGTGTTCTTTAAACATCGGTGGTACAACAGCAACCGTGGTAGAGAAGGTAAGGTCGTGGCGCAAGAATGGAATGCCTTCATCCATAGCATCGAGTGCATTGGCCGTGAGGCCTGGCTCGCCAAACTTGATGCAGATCGCATCGGGTTGAAAAAAATATTGTGACCCAGTAGGTGTATGATACAAGTTGCACCGACTGTCAAGAGAGGCAGGATAGCCCTGTCTATCGTGGGGTGATTCGTGTTCAAGTTGCCCGGACAACTCAAATTGGGCCCCCAGGGAGGCCTTACTCCCTAAATTTTCCTTCCGGAAAGCGCGCATCTCTTCTGAAATGGCCGAAGGGATTGACACTTTGCAATCCCTGTACTCGCATTCGGGGAGGTCGTTTGCAACGGCCCTTCTTCGAACACAACGGGTGGGTCTCATCATATTGCTCGACGAGACCCAGCCTTTCAACAATAAGCTGAGCACGAGTCTCCCAGCTGTCCCACGCCGGTGGAAAGCCACGCCAGCGGACGAGTTAACTCTTCCGGACGCTCTTCACGTCTCGGTGGTTCAAAATGCGCTCCACAAAAAAGCGTTGACCACCGCTTGAGTCCACCAAAGGATGTGGTAGAGGCGGGAACATTTGATCGGACTGGAGGTCGGATCATCTTTATGTTCGGTAACTGAACCGTGTAACCGATCAGTTACACGATGACCTGTCTCATGAACGAACTCGGTTTTATGAACTTCATGACTTTGCAAAGGACAATTACAATTACTTAGCGCACGATCATTCAAACGATCGTGCCGCATTTGCATTAGCGCAGCTGAAGAACGAACGTTCAATTCGTTCTCTTCGTGACGAGCTGACTGTAGCTCGTCGAGACATCGCTCCACTGCGTACACAAGTCGCTTCGCTATTTTACCAGACTGGCTCGTTGAAACGCGACCACTCGAAGGTGGTCTTGGCTCTCGACCGCGGAGGTGCTCTTTGCATCTCGAAACGGGCTCGTACTGATAGTACGGGCGGAGACGACCAACGTAAAACGTAGGTGCGCACGTATCTTACGGGGCAGTTCAATGTTGTATGGGTTCCCCACGCGGCGCAATACACGAAATGGGCCGATGAACTTGAGCAGTAATTTACTACTGCCCACGTTTGTCACTGCGTGTTTCGGTAGATTTACCATAGACATTAAAACTAGGTCTCCTTATTGAATGAAAGAACATTTGATCTTCCATGTTGGTCTGCTTTTCTTTCTGTTTGTATGTTGCGTGTGCAATAGAGTCTTGAACGAAACGGACAACCGCTTCGCGAGTCAGCAAAAATTTATCTGCCGACTCATCCTTGTTAACAGCAGTGCTCTTTGTGCGCACTGCTGAATGGACGTTGTCTTCATCAGTGAGGGCACCATCGTCCTCACTGTAGCAGTTGTTGAAGATGCTGAATGTAATATCATTTTCTTCATCATCATCATCGATGTTGATTTGATCGACATCGGCATCCATCACGTCGACACCATTGTCGTCGTGTGATTAGCATGAACTAGATCAGTTTTTGTTTAAGCGGGTGCCCCCCCCTTTAAACTAGAGTCACCCCCCCCCCTAAAACTAGTCACACTCTAAGAAGGCGAGTAACGTGGATAGCGTAGGCCATTCATGAAGAACAGTTTATGCGTACTCAACGCATGCACCGAGTTGTTGGTGGCAAATTCCGCCATCGGCAAGAACCCACTCCAACTCGTAAACGAGTGGGCATACTTTTAAAGTATCTCTTAGAGGACGCGGCAAACGCGCTCAGCCTGATCCTTTTATCAGGATGGTCAGAAGCTGACATCTTTAACCGTGTTCCAAGTTAACAGAACCCGGATGCCAGAACTCCGCTGTGAGGCGGGGGCCCTGTCAGACACTAGTTCACGGGGTCTCTCGTGGAGTCAGAAGATTGTATCAATGAGACAAGAGTACAGCACTGAAATATGATTGCATCCGGCACGGCAACAAGATATACCATCTTGCTGAACCGATCAACAAACACAAGAATACCAGTACTCTTGTAGGCGTCTTTAGAAAATCCAAAGACGAAGTCCATCGATACGGACTGCCAGCACTCTGCTGGAATCGGTAGAGGCTGCAAGGGTGCACAGGATGAAGGACTAGGCTTCACCGTTGGTAAACTTCGCAAGCGCGAATACATTTCCGCACAAGCTCATACTGGCGGGGCCATTTGATGTCACGACCACCGTGAGGTAAGTCTTTTCACTACCGCGATGCCCACTTGTTAGGGATCGAAACACTTTTTCACGATGCGCAATCGCAAAATACTGTGAACGGGAACGACGACACGAGTTTTGTCGACGTTGACTTCTGTATAGTGCAGCATTCCATCACGAATCGAATACCGTTCGGTTGAAGAGCGGTATTGAGACGTCAAGCTTTTCAAAGCTTGACTGCATGGATTGTATCAGTAAATCATCAATCGCAGAAAAGACTCATCTTCTGCGTATGCTTTCCGCACGTCATCGAGCAAATCCGACGACGGAACACTCACTGATGGTGTTTCTAAAATAGGATCACCCCTAATGTTGTGTTGAGCATTCGGCTTAAAATCGGGCAGAAGCGAAAGAGCATCAGCGACGACATTAAGCCGTCCTGGCTTACACTCGACGGAGAAGTTGTACTCCGCGAAGAAAGACAGCCACCTCGCCATTAGTTGCGAGATGTGTGGACTGTTTACGGCCGCGCGTAACGACGCATGGTAGGTATAAACGATGAAGGGCCTATCTCCTGAGTGATATACCCGAAACTTAGCCAGTGCATATATCATGGCAAGAGTTCCTTGTCATGCACTGGGTAATTACGCTCAGCTGCTTGCAGCTGACGCGATTGATAACAGACGACGCGCTCAACGCCGTCTGATTCGAACTGCATTAACGCCCAGCCGATCGCAAAATCGCTGGCGTCACAGAATACATGAAATGGTCTATCCTGGTCTGCGATCGCCAACACAGGCGATTGTATCAAGTTTTTCTGATACCTATGAAAGAGTGCTGACACTCAGCGCTCCATGACCACCTCTCGTTTTTCTTTAGTGGACGAGAGAGATATACGATCATCTCGGCATAGCTGCGCGAGTATTTGTGCGAGTACGCCACCAAGCCGAGAAACTTTTTAAGTCCCTTGACGTCGACTGGCACAGGCCAGTCGCTAATCACCTTAATCTCTTCCGGATCAGGGCGTACGTCGTTTTTACCCACGATGCAGCCAAGAAGTAGCATAACGTTTGCTGCAAATAAACACTTCTTAAGGTTCGCGAACAACTTATGCTATCGCATTAGAGTAAGAGCCTTCCGGACGTGGATTCTTTGAACCCCCACGTCCGTCTTTACATCCATAGCCCGGCTATGAACGAAGACGTCGTCGAATTAACTCGGTGCAAAATTACGCACCGATCGCAACAGATTCGTAACACATCTGTTAAACGTTGAAGGGCGTTACTGAGCCCCTGTGGCATCACTAGTCACTCCCATAGCATACCACTGGGGGTGCTCACTGCTGTGTACAAAATGTCCCGTTCAAGCAT